GAAAGATGGACATCCTCCATTGCAGACTTAGTTGTGCTTTCATCACCCCAAACATCACTACCATATACAATAATTGGTCTTATCAGTTTGTCAAATAAAGATAGTTGGAGGGGTATGTTTAGTGAGTTGTCATAACCGAGTTTGCATTTCAAAGCAAAGAGAGCTTTCATCCCTTTATTTTTTAAATTATTGATACTCTCTTTATGTATGATGGATTACGATAACTATATTTTCTGTACATTTCCGATGTATTACATTTTTAAACTATGAATGTGGTAATACATGTTTTATTATTTTATAACAAACTGCCTATGTCATGTCAGAAGGTCGTAGCATCAGTCTCGCTATCTACGAAAGAGACTTGAGTGGGATCTTGACATGATGTCACCGGCCTACCCCCCTGTACTTTTTGTCCAGTGCCTTACACCCCAAAACGACATGTGCGCGCATGCGAAACGCTATATCTTCGACTTCCAGGAAAGTCGTCTATGCCGTTTGGCCGGAGAGGGCGCTACTCACGCCTGCATGTCAGGCTTAAAAACTTCAGATTGTGTCAATGCACTGTTTCTGTCGGACATTATTTTTCCACACGTCGCGATTTTCGTTCGACCGTGATTGACATGTAAAATGCCCGACAGTGGTTCACTTAGTACAAGCTCAAGAAGTTGGTAATAAATTAAATAGTTACTCACTATTATTACTGCACGAAACACAACACTACATGTATTCACATGGCTGCAACTTGCGTCAAATACAATTCTGGTGTTTGTAGGTCCGCGCACAAGACGACGACGGCGGCGTCAAGTGCGTGGTGGCGCCCTTGTGTGGTCACCTAAGGTTATGACCTCATTATTTGCTTGCTGTGCAGCTCACTTCAACATGGCGGAAAGCAAAGCGGAGGAGTTTGAGAGTTTGGATCAGATACTTAATAAGCACATTCCTTCTGACGATTTACAACATGTAAACAGACTGCTTTATGGAAACATGCCGAGGTAAGGGAGTGTTTAGCAGTACAACCAGTGATGCAAACACGCAAACACAACCCTGCCATGCATTTGTGGACGATACCTACGACAGTCATGACCGGTGACATTGTCTGTGGGGCAATAAACCATTATAGTTGTCCTAGCACAGTCACAGTATTAAATGGCAACGTAATTATGTAGAATAGATCGATTCAATGAAATCAAGGCAACTTCCCGTCACAATCATTTTTTCCTCGTTACAACCACGCCATAATGTTATCGTAAATCAATGAAGATGAATGAGTGATCTTTGTTGCAGTAGAACACGCCCACTTTCTCTGTCGTGGATACGCTGCCATTTGATCTACGCGAATATATTTATGTTAATAAGCGGGTAAAAAAAATGCTGGTATCATTGCGTCCAGTGATTGGCCATTTATTGAACAGCTTCTCTTCCACATTATACTCCCCTCACAACTGATAATCAATTCCTGTCATTTTTATTACATACGTAATGATATGATCTTCTATTTTGAACAAACTCAATAAACTCCATTAAGACACAAAATACAGTGATAAAACAAGAAGAGTTTTTTTTTTTTTTTTTTTTTTTTTTTGTAACAATAACAAATCTAGGAATTGGAAAATAAAATATACCAATATGTTATGGAATACATTTTAATTAATATTCCATGAAATTTCTATGCAAAAATATTTCTATTTGTTTTCTGATTCTGAGATCATCTTGCAATTTGCATGGAGAATATTCTTTGTGTTTTAGTTTAGTACACTGAATTTCACATAAGCATGAACATTTTTTTATAAAACATTTAAGCGATGATTGAAAATAAGTCTATCAATCACAATGCTGAATTATCTAGGTGTAAGTAATAAATAAATAAATTATTTTCAGAATTGACCTGATATATTTGACTCACTTTCTGCTAATTTTATTGCACAGTAAGCTGGAAATACCAGCAGAAGCACTCAAGATAAGTCAAGAGAAAGATTTTGAAATTCAAGGTTATTGTATTTCTGCTGCCAGAGAACAATTACGTACTCCTCGAATTGTGCGCATTGGACTCGTACAGAATAAAATAGTTTTGCCGACCACAGCACCAGTGGCGGAACAGGTAATAAAGAATTATTTGAAGTTCAAGCTGAACTGAGGAGTTCATTGTCATTTATTTTATCATACTTTAATTGGTAATGGGACACCATCAATAAAAAAACAACAATTCGGGTCATCTGACATTTTTTTTGAGAAACAAGAGTCATAAATGTTATGTTAAATTTTGCATGTTTGCACTGGTTTCCATGGTAAATTTTTTTTCATATAACTTATGCTTGATGACGTAGAAAGAGAAAATCATTCATTATTATTGATATGAATCCTAATATTGCAAAAACATTTTTAAAAAAATCACATATAATTTAGTGAGTTTTCAGGGTGGTAATAGTTTTCCATTGTACAATGGGAGGTTCTCTCCCATAATGCATTGCATATATAAATATATGTATGATCAGTTGTAAAAAATTGGCACACTGATGTACTGATACTAAATTGAGCAAACACTTTATGCTTATTCAAAGTGGATATTCTATTATTGGATACTTTATTGGGGTTTTTGTTTTTAAAACTATTTTAAGTACAGCCAAACTATTCTATTTATATACATGTTCTATTCATGTTGAAACATAACAGATTGTCAGTATCATTATTGTACACTGTGGGCAAGGTAAAATAGTTTTTCTATGTTATTTACTACTGTACTTTTTTTCCCTCAGAAGTCTAGTTTTGAGTTCTGTGGTTGCCATGTTAAATAATATGTAAAATGTGTATGTATCTACTTCTAGGTAGAATCTCTTCATCGTCGTATCGGTGACATTATAGAGGCTGCAGCACTGTGTGGTGTTAATATTGTCTGTTTTCAAGAAACGTGGAGTAGGTTTATACATAATTATTTCATAAAAAACACTGTTAAAGATTTTTATTGAATGAGGGTCAGATTTTTAAGAATTTTTTTTTTTTTCACAATACATTTCTGTACACTGGTGAGAATTTCGCCTGGCTTTGTCAAAGGTGCTAGAGAAAACTGCATTTTGAAGGTCAAATTTGATAAAATTGTCTAATGGGAATATTATTTGTCTGTGAAATTCAAGTCCTGAAATTTGAGTTTATTGCATGTTTTGCAGTGATCATGAAGTTCAATCCTCTCATATTCAATCAAATTGACAGCCATACAATTTTGCTTTATGTACACCAGTAGTCATTTGTATACCTGACCAAAAAAACCTGGTATTTTGCCTTAATATTATGACAGGCTGTTACAAAGATATTATCGAGTAAGTTACTCAACATTATGTTGTATAGGTTGTATGGGACTCACATCAGAGTTGACACAGCTTGACAACTGTGCCACTTAAGATATCAAAAAGATTATTTTAGTCATATCATTTGACTAGGACAAATTGCAAAATCTGGAAAAGTAATTGCTCTTTCCTCATAAAGTTGAGAGAAACAGAGTTGATGATAGAATTCTGTAAAACAATTGGTTGTCACAAAATCACACACATATATATATATATTACAACCATCTTGTATTTTTTTTTAGCTATGCCATTTGCTTTTTGCACCAGAGAAAAACAGCCATGGTGTGAATTTGCTGAGTCAGCAGAAGATGGCCCCACAACAAAATTTTGCCAGGAGGTGGGTTATAAAAATATGCTGAATTTGATTCATTTCTGTCTGTGTGTCTGTTCTATATCTCAGACATGACTGTCCATATTGTGATCACTAGTACACATAAATCTCAAAACTCAATAATTTTTGGTGTTAATTTTTGGTGTTAAAAAACAATCACAATCAATTCAAGGTGGCGGTCAGGAAGCCATTTCAGTTGGAAAAAAATTACCAAACTCAAGCCTTAGGTAAGAGGTATGAAAAAAACAATCATTTCTAAACACAATCGATTCAAAGTGGCTGACTGGTGGCCATTTTTTTGGAAAAATTGACCAAACTCGAGCATTCTTAAGATTAGGAATCAACTGCATGCATGGATGGATGTTTGTTTTTTTGAAACCTAGTATGTAATTTCCTGAATCTTATTCAGCTGCTACTTGCCTGGAGTGATCATATTCCCATTACTTTGTACATATTTAGTACGCACATTTGATTGTGATAATTTTACAATGAAATCATACAAGGACTTGTGTCAATTTATGATCAGAATAAGATTATTTTATTTTTTTATCATACTGGTAGATAGCAAAGAGATACAATATGGTGGTTATTTCTCCTATATTGGAAAGAGACCTGAATCATGGCGAGATCCTTGCTAATACTGCTGGTAGGTTTTTACTTTTAATATTAGTGTCACAGGGCTTACTATGAGGTCTGGGCAATTTCTGTGAAGTCACAGGGATTACTGTGAGGTTAAAGGGATCACTGAGGTTACAGAAAGTGTTTCAAGGACATAGAGAGTAATATGAGGTCCCAGGGATTACTGTGAGGTTAAAGGGATCACTGAGGTTACAGAAAGTGTTTCAAAAATATAGGGAGTGATATGAGCGTACAGGGTGTGTTGTGAGGTAACTGGGATTACTGTGGGGTCCAGGGAACTACTGTTAAGTCACAGGGATTACTGTGTGGTTAAAGGGATTACTGTTGGGTTACAGAAAATGTTTCAAGGACATAGGGAGTAATATGAGGTCACAGGGATTACTGTGAGGTTAAAGGGATCACTGGGGTTACAGAAAATGTTTTAAGGACATAGGGAGTAATATCAGGGTACATGGTGTGTTGTGAGGTCACAGGGAGAATTGTAAAGTCACATGCAAAGATTATGTGAGGTCATATGTAATGATGGGCTGTGAGGTCATGGAGAGTTGCCAAAGTCACAGGTAGTGCTGTAAGATCACAAGAGTAAGGTCAGAGAGTTTTGTTAGGTCATAGAAAAGGTTATGCAGTCAAATTTTCCATCAATGATATAAAAAGTTATTTTGATAAAATCACCTCACTGGGTTAATAATTCCACATCAATTTTGTGTCCTGCATCTTGAATACGTAGATAATTGGTACCATAGAGTGTAATCTGTTATTTGTACTTTCACCTGACTGGTGAATTGCACATATTTTTTTCAGCTTTGAATTCCGCTGGTGTCAAAACAATCCAATTTCATCTACATAGAGTGTTGTTTTCATCACATAAATATTTGCTAGCTTATCAGAATGCTGGGGACCAGGGAAACCTGTGTGTACGATCTAGATTTCTAAATCACCCTCCCTCCATTCTGGCACAAATCTGACTGATGTTGCTGTAACTTATCTCTTATATTTCAGTTATCATATCGAATACTGGCAAAGTTCTTGGCAAGAGTAGAAAGAATCACATCCCCAGAGTTGGCGACTTTAATGAGGTACATTGTAATACATTATTCATGCTTGAATAATAACACCATTGACCATATATGGGCATTGTTTACAATCCCCCCAGTCTACAGAATGTATTGCATTATGACTGATATTTGGCTTGTGATCATATTATTTGCTGCACTTTCATCAAAGATAACAGAACAGAGCTGTTTATATATGGGATTGTTTGTCATCGTTCCCATCAGCAATTTGATTTGAGACTTCTTCTTAAAAACTATCAGTCAGATTGCTTTAATGCTTTGATTTAGGTACCCTGAGGGGCCTCTGTTTCTAAATACCAACTTATGCATATTAATCAATTCATTAACATATTAACTAACACATTCTTCTGTATAAATGTATTGTAATTTATAGTTTACTTTTTATTAGTTTGACCGTTGAATTATTTCACGTATGATCTGTTTATGTGAAGCATTTGTGGAGATAATTTATGCGTAACCACTATGAAAAGTAAGTAATGATATACATTTTGTTATATTTTTAATAGTCTACATACTATATGGAAGGTAATACTGGACATAGAGTTTTTGAAACGCAGTTTGGTAAGTGAAATACCAAGTGTTGTGTGTGGGGGGGGGGGGGCAATGTTTGACAACTGTGATGAGCTGCCCATTGAGTAAGTTTATAGCAGAATTTCTGCTCTTACATGTATAACAGACTCATGGTTTTTCAGGATATGGTGTTACCCTAATTTCTCATACAGAAACGGGACTACATGGGTGATCATAAGTAGATTGTCGGATGAAACAGTTTTTGTCTTTAAATCAACTATTTTAAGTATGCTACTTGTGGTTTTTTTCAGGTAAAATTGCTATTAATATTTGCTATGGTCGTCATATACCTATTAATTGGATGATGTATGGTTTAAATGGAGCAGAGATTATTTTCTGTCCCGCACGACTGTTGGTGCTTTGAGGTGAATACATAGTTGAATACTTTAAAATGGTTTCAAGAGAAACATTACACCTTTCCCTGAAATAACACATGCTAGTTGCTAAAGCGCTTCTGTGATATCAAATTAGTAAATGGATGAAACTCGGTTTAGGTGTAGTCGCTTCGTCATCATATTCTAATATATTAGTAAATTTCTAATTTTTATTAATGGATGTTCTTAGATTGAAACATTATCAGTGGTAACTACATCCCTTACTTGTGCCCATACTGTGACTGAATCGTTTTGTTGCTAGGATACAACCTTATAGCAACAAATTGTATTAGAAACTCATCTCCTAAAAAATTGTATGTTCATTTTTGTGAGATTTTAAATACACTAAACTCACACTGAAGATTCATGCTAAATTTAGACCATGTTATGGTCATAATGAAAGCACATGTGCTTGAAATAGAATGTAAAGCATCACAATAAAGGCCATTTCATTCTCACAATATATCATTTTCTGTTCTATATACCTGCATGCATCGAACGTAAAAAACATGATGGTCATAGCGTTGTGGTTGCATCAAAACAACCCGTGAAATCAACAATCAACAAACAAGAAAGTAGTTTTTGAGTATTTTCAAGCTTTATAATGTGCTGTACATATTTGATGATGGTTAAGTGAGGGTATCTCAACGCTATGTTTCTCTCTGAAGGTTTGATATTTTAACATTGAACCACAAAAAATTAAATTCAAATTCAAAATCAGATTACTTAATTTCAGCGACAGACGTTTGTTTCACACATTTTGCACATTACAAAACATCTTACAGTGAATGGAAAATCCACTATTGCATTGATACTATTTCAATGCCAACATATACAGAAATATATTTGAAAAGAATACAATATGCAAAGGGAATTGTTTAAATGTATCTTATTTTACAGTGAAAAGTCATATAACAAGCTTGTAAAATAAAGCGACTTACATGTTTTTGTCTTCCATTTTTTTTTTTTTTAATTTTCTTCTTTCTCACAGTGAACCAATGTGGCGATAGAGGGTAGATGTGCAGCTATTGCAAATCATTGTTTTACAGCCTCAATCAACAGAATCGGAACTGTGAGTCAATCACACATCTTCTTTAAATCTGTGCTAAATTCCCACAAACATTAGACTGAGACAACACCACTAACATTTATTCAGATCAAGTTTTCTGTAATTTGATCAAATTTCTTTAAAACCAGCATATATGCAATCAATCAGCTCTTTTTTTTCTAAACTGAAATGTGAAATTCAAGAAATCCTATTAATTTTTAAATATACAGAAAGATACAGGAAGGTTACTACTTGTCTTTGAGCTTGTATTGATGAGGAAAATGTTTGTTCAACTACTCGTTGTGTGCATGATAGCATTTTATTCATTTTATTTTGTAGGAAGTATTTGCGAGTGAGTTCACCTCTGCTGATGGAAAGAAAGGTAAGAATTATATTTTCCAAAATAGTGATGAAGATGATGTTGAGGATAATGATGACAATCAATATTTGTTTTACAGTTTTTGCATTCTTATTTGAAATCCTACAACTAGTGACCTGCCTTGTAGTATCTTGCATTTAGTGCTCAAAATGAGAATGGAAAATATGTGTAATGTAATGCACTCAAAAATGTGTGTATTCTCCTGAAATTGGGCAAAGTATCCTAAAAATGGGTGTTTTCTCTTGAAATCAGTAAAGTAGCCTAAAATGGGTGTATTCTCCTGAAATCAGTAAAGTAGCCTAAAATGGGTGTATTCTCCTGAAATCGGGTAAAGTAGCCTAAAATGGATGTATTCTCCTGAAATTGGGTAAAGTGTCCTAAAATGGGTGTATTCTCCTGAAATTGGGTGAAGTAGCCTAAAATGAGTGTATTCTTCTGAAATTGGGTGAAGTAGCCAAAAATGGGTGTATTCTCCTGAAATTGGATGAAATAACCTAAAAAATGGGTGTATTCTCCTGAAATTGGGCAAAGTATCCTAAAAATGGGTATATTCTCCTGAAATTGGGTAAAGTAGCCTAAAATGGATGTATTCTCCTGAAATTGGGCAAAGTGTCCTAAAATGGGTGTATTTTCTTGAAATTGGGTAAAGTAGCCTAAAATGAGTGTATTCTCCTGAAATTGGGGGAAGTAGCCTAAAATGGGTTTATTCTCCTGAAATTGGGCAAAGTATCCTAAAATGGGTGTATTCTCCTGAAATTGGGTAAAGTAGCCTAAACTGGATGTATTCTCCTGAAATTGGGTGAAGTAGCCTAAAATGGGTGTATTCTGAAATTGGGTGAAGTAACCTAAAATGGGTGTATTCTCCTGAAATTGGGTGAAGTAGCTAAAATGGGTGTATTCTCCTGAAATTGGGCAAAATAGCCTAAATAGGTGTATGCTCCTGAAAATGGGGAAAATATACTAAAATTTGTGTATTTTCCAGAAATTGGGCAAAGTAGCCTAAAATGGATGTATTCTTCTGAAATTGGGTAAAGCATCCTAAAATGAGTGTATTCTCCTGAAATTGGGTAAAGCATCCTAAAATGAGTGTATTCTCTTGAAATTGGGTAAAGCATCCTAAAATGAGTGTATTCTCTTGAAATTGGGTAAAGCATCCTAAAATGAGTGTATTCTCCTGAAATTGGTGTATGCTCATGGAATAAGTGTAGTCTTCTGAAATAAGTATAGTCCCTTAAAATGGGGGTAGTCTCCTGAAATTGGATAAGTTTCCTGAAATGAATGTAGTTTCCTAAAATTGTGTTGAAAACAGGTATGGTCTTCTATAATGGGGGCAGTTTCCTGAAATGGGTATACTTTTTTAACATTTGGTGTAATCTACTAAAATGGGCATAGTCTCTTGAATGGCAGTTTGGTGTCTAATGTGCATGAATTAATAGAGAACCCACAACATTGATGAGTTTCTGGCTTAGAATGCCTGAGGTGATTCTAAACCCAGAAATTTTGAGGGGAGGGAGTTCTGTAGCCTAAACCACACACACCAACCAAAGAATGGACTACTTATGTGATATTCAGCCCATCTTATTTATAACATCACAAATTGTGAAGTACATTATCGGTAGGTTTTAAGACCATTTTTATTTATCATGAGTCACTTGCTGCATTCTCTCTGTCGTGTTAGGATGGCTGAAACACGAGTCAATACTAGACAGATAACTGGACGAACAATATTTATTACAAATCGGGCGCCATATTACCAGTAACCAAACTGAGCATGCTCAAAGCAATGCCTTATGGGAAAACTATAGGGCTTACACCACACTCTCTCCAATCACCTACACAGCTCAGCAAGTAGAGCTTTGGCTGATTCAAAGCAAACAGGGTCAGTGTCCCGGGTATTTCCAATCAAAACAAATTTGAGGAGGAAGTTACAGAACTTCCATCATGGGAGATACACATCACAAGTGTGGTTCACCTAAGATCCCAACACTTGTACTTAAATTTTAGCTTAAAGCGGGAGGGTCGTCACCTGCGGATACGTCGGAATTGGGTCCCAAGCGGTGATAACAACACCCCCTAAAAACGCAAAGACTCATGGGTAGACGCTTGTTTGTAAACAATGACACGCTATGGCCATCTGACACATGCGCAGATGATGACTCCCCCGTTTAATGTGTGTAATTTATCATATATGAGAATCAAATTTAATTTGATCTTTCTGTTTCCTCTGTAGCCCATAAGGATTTTGGACATTTCTATTTGGTATGTGGTTTCTTTCCTCATAGTACAGACTGTACTGTATTCATTCACACTTGAGTTTTTCTCAA